AAAACATATAAAAATATACAAATATCTAAATTGTTATAGAGATTAAAAAATGGTGGTAGACCTAGACATTGCTGACTTAGTTTGAGGAGAATATTCAAGCTGAATAAAATTTCACAGCTTCGGAAATTATCAGAGCAAAATTTCCCACAGAAACTATTCTGACCAGGTGTTTTGTAGCAGTGGTAGATATCCCTTTTCATCTTACACATGTGACCCTACTTGAGAAAGACTTTCTATTGTCCTGCTTTTGTTTCAGTTCCATGCTACACATTATCTTACAAAAGGTAAATCTAAAGAACTTCTTTTTAACAATGAAGAGATGATTTTGAAAAATCCAATGGTGTTAAACCATGTATATTAAACCAGTGGTTACAAAGTAACCGCTTGCTCACCACCAAATCTCGCCTAGCTTTTCCACTTCTTTCCTTCCTCCTGCAGATGCGCATCTCCCCTGGGTGCTCAGCAGTCCTGCCTGGGCTGTGACCCCCTCTTCCCTCCACGGCTTCCCTGCCTCCCCCTGGCCAGCCCAAGTTACTCCTTTATCTGGTTTCCCCAGTCCTGCTCCTGACGCTCAGACTGTTAGATACATCAGAGTCCATAGCTGCAGGTGAAGCTGGGCTTCCGAGCTTGGGGTCTCTTTACTCTTCCCTTGTTCACTTGGTCTTTATTGTCCCCTCTGATTTACTGCTATTCTCACACAGGATATCCTGGGTCCCCTCCTGGACTTCCTTGCTCAAGCAAAACCCCCTCCTGCTGCTCTCCTTCTCCCTCTTCCTCCCTCTTCCCTACGACTTACTTATTTTTATTCCTCTTCCCCTCCACTTCTATCCACCCCTCCCATGTCTTGCTCCCCTCCCATTTGCAAGAGATCTATCTCATTGTTTCCTATTATATGTCTTTTATATTGCTCTTTAGTTTATTTGTATTTTAAGTTTCTCATATAAGAAACCATGTGATATTTAAGCTCATGTGTCTGATTTATTTCACTTAACACTATCGTCTCAAGGTGCATCCATTTTCCTACAGGTGACTTAAGTTTATCCTTCTTTATGGCAGAGTAGTACTCCACTGTGTGTAAATACCACATATTCTTCATCCATTCATCTGTGGATGGATGTGCAGACCACTTCCGAGATTTAGCCATTGTGAATTGTGCTGCTATACACATGGGTATGCATGTATCACTGTAATATGATGTCCTGAATTCTTTTGGGAGGATACCTAGAAGAAGAATAGCTGGGTCAAATGGAACTTCTAGTTGTAGTTTTTCGAGGAGTTTCCATACTGATTTCCACAGGGCTGTACTAGTTTACAGTTCCACCAACAACGTAGAAGGGTTCCTTCCCCCCAGATGCTTCTTACTTGGCCAAGAAGTTCGAGGAGTTCATCACCAGTTGCTTCCAAGTTGCTGCAAATGACTCAAGTTTGTCTTTCTTCATGACAGACTAGAACTCCATTATAAATAAATAACACATCTTCTTTATCCATTCTTTATAAATATATTTTTGGATTTTTCTATTTAATATTTTCAGGTCATGATTGACTATGAATATATATATTAGACTACAATAATACATTATTTAATATATTAAATCACATACATATTTAATATATAATTTAATGTATAACAATATAATTTAATGTATTATATTGAAAGCATAGGGTGAGTACTCAGTATTTTTTTTCATAGAGTGAGCTCATAGATGTCCACACATGTACCATCCACCTTGCCTTATGCATTATTCACTTTCCCATCTCTGGCACAGAATACCCAACTCCCATAATTTAAAGGAGGAGAGGTTTATTTTTGGTTCATGTTTTGGAGCATTGAGTCCATGGTTGGTTGGCTCCATGGCAGAAATGGTGCCAGGAAGCAGAGAGAGGGCAGAGGCAGGAGAATAACACCTTTCAGGTCCTGCCCCGGTGACCAGGTCCACCTCTGAACATGAGACGTGGATGACACTTTAGATCCAAACCATAACATTCCACCCTGGTCCCCCAAAGCCTCGTGCCAGTCTCATTATGCAGAATGCATTTAGCACATCTCTAAGAGTCGCCAAAGTTTTAATAATTGCAGCATTGCTGAGAAGTCCAAACGCAAAGTCTCCTCTGAGAGTCAAAGCAAACAGCTGTGAGCCCCTGTGAAAATTAAAAAAGAGTACAGTGGTACAGGGTAAACTTTCCCATTCCAAAAGGGAAGAATAGAGAAAGGAAAGGAATCAAATCAAAGTAAGACCAAAACCACCAGGGCAAATGCTAAACCCTGTAGCTCCATGCCTAGCACCTGTGGCAGGCTGTGGTGAGACATGAGCATCAAAGGCCTTGGGCAGCCCTGCCCCTGTGCCTTACTGGTTGTAGCCCACACGGCCTCTTCCGACCTGCAGCTGTCCTCGGCAGATGAGCCACGTTCCTGGGGCCTCTACTGCACCTTTAGCTTCACTCTCACAGTTTCGAGCATCAAGTTTTCAGGGGATCCTGGCAATAACAGTAAGCATGTCATACATCTTTGCCTGGGCTCCCAGGCCTTCTCCTGAAATCTAGGTGGAAGGTTTTATGACCCCATGACACTTGCATTCTGGATGCCTGAAAAACTAGCATTGCATGGATGAAGCCAGGGTTTGCTGTCAGCTCCAGCAGTAGCCTGGCCCCCATGGACTATGGCCACCAATGACCTCTGAGTGTCTGGATGGCTGAACTCAAGGAAACAGTTGCCTAGTTGTCCCTGAAGGAATAGGTGCCACTTGGGCTGTCTTCACAAAAGAAAGTCTTTCAAATGAGTTTACTTTTTTACTCCCTTTGAGGCTGTTATGCATCAGATCTCGCAAATTCCTGAGATCCTTCTAGCCATTTTCCCCATTGTCCTGTTGGAAAATACTTGGCTTCTTTTTAATGCTTATCTTTTCAGCAACTGTGGTTACCTGGGCCCCAAATTTGCAGGTGTTTCCTTTAGTGTGAAACTGCAAACTTTTTGAATCATTCAGCTCTGCTTTTTGTGTTTCTGATTCTCACTATAAATCTGGTGAGAAGCAGCCACCAGTACCCATGCCACAACCTGTACATTGGGCTGCCTTAAAATTTCCTTTGCCAGATTAATTAGTCCATCACCCTTCATCTCAGTCACCTGAAAAGCCACAGGACATGGATAAAATGTAGACAAACTTTTTGTCATAGTGTAACACACACGTCCTCTAGTCCAGTTGCCAGTGGAGCCCTTGTTCCCACCTGAAATCTCCTGAGCCTGGGCTTTACTGTCTGCATTCCTGTCAGCATTCTGGTCTTCTGAGCTCCAATCAGAATCATCCACTGGGATCTGTTTACAGCATTCTAGGGATTCTGTAGCCCACATCTCCAAAGCTTTCCAGTCCTGATCCAGAAGCTTCTAAAGCACATGATCAGATGCAGTGGTCCCACTCATGGTACCAGTGTTCTGTATTAGTCACTTTCCCGTCACTGAGACAACATTCCTGACAACCACAATTTTGAGGTTTTTTTTTTTTTGTACCAGGGATCAAACTCGGGTCCTTGTGCTCACAAGGCAAGTGACGGAAACACTGAGCTAAATCCCCAGCCCCTGACACCCACAACTTAATGGAAGAAAGATTGATTTTGACTCACATTTAAGAAGATTCATTCCATGGTTGATTGGCTCCAAGTCAGAAATGGCACGGCCGAGAATAGAGGTACCCAGGTCATGCCCCAAGTGACCTGCCCACTCTGCCCACATTTTAGCTCTAAGCCACAACACTCCACTCACCCATTTGTCCTGTCTGTTGTCTTTCCCCCCGCAGCTTTCCTGAAATACCACATTGGCTTTCCATACTTCCACCTAGTGTCTATTCCATTTTGTATTTTGCTGTTCTACCTAATATGCTGCTCAGTAGCCATCTGCCACTTGCTCTTGCCTTCCTTGCAGGCTTCCTTTCTTTGATCTCCTTCCTAGATGGTTGCTTGGCTCTGTCCTCTCTCCCCTTCCTCCCACACCACCTAGCTGCATCATACTAGCACTTCTCCTGCTCAGAGCTGTGCCAAAGGCTTCTCTGTGAAGCTCTTTCAGGATCCTCTCTTCAGTCACCTCAGTCTTTCTCCTTCTTTAAATAATTACAGAAGTTTGCAGTCAGTTCATGGAGCTCATCTGAAGAGAGGACATTTTTGCTCCTATCTCTACCTTCTCACCCATACACAGAGGCTCCTTGAGGTATCTCTTGGTCTTTCCTTCGGTGTACAACATAGTATTTACACAAATTTTGTTGTTTCCCTGCAAGTCGATATTCCAGGAAATGCCAGCCTGCTTGAGAAAAAAAAAAGAGAATTGTTTTGTGAATGGTCTTGTTTGCTGTCTTCTAACCCACAGAAGTTCTGTCGTTGTTCTCAGAGGTGGACAGATGTGTTCGTTACTGTGGAATCTCAAAGCCCAGAAGAGTTGGGAATAAGAAAGTGACAGAATGTTAGCACTGGAATGGTTTTTAGAGATTCAGGCAGTACAACTCTTTAAGGTTGTAGATGAGTAAACCAAGGCAGAAGGACCTCACCCCCCAAGCATACAAGCAGTCTCTGGGTGCAGAGGGTCAGCTGGCTGTCATCAGTGTTTCTTCTCGCACACGGCCAGAGGCAGGGAGGAGGTGGATGCTGTGCGTGTTGTACCTTTCAGGGTTCAGAGGGGAATCCTATCCTCAGATCGCTGAGTGGGTTACCAAATCAGCAATTGCAATTTTTCTGGCTGATTCACTTCTACTCTCTGAGGTGATTCTCATTACACTTATTTTGGATGATCTAGATTATTTGCTGACATTTTAGGAAACTTTTTATTAAACTAAAATATGCAGAACAGTATATAAATCCCGAGTGTATTGTTTGACATTTTCAAAAAATGAGCTCGTCCCTGTGACCACAGCCAGACCAGGGAACAGAGAAGCAGGTTAGGAAACGTTTAGAGAAATAGGACATTTTGAGACATAGAAGGAGATTGATGCTAACTTATTTCCTTTTCCCCTCTCGTACAGGTTTTGTCAGTGTGTGTGTTAACAACGATCCTCGGTTGCATATTTGGGTTGAAACCAAGCTGTGCCAAAGAAGGTAACCAGTTTTCATTCGCTCATTCTCTGTCCCTGTGTCTCCAGTCTTACTGCTCAGTATCATTGAGATAAATATTATACCCTGATCCTATGTGTGTTCCACAGATATCATATGTGGGGGAAGGAGCAGGCTCTTGCTATGTAGCCCAGGCTGGCCTCGAACTCACGGTGATCCTCCTGCTTCGGCCTGCGTAGTACTGGGATTACAGGCGTGTACCACCATGCCTGGCAGATACTGAAAATTTCAGAAGGCTGGTGTGACCCTTCTTGAAGCTCTTGTATTATTTTAGCCATAGAAAATTTTTTTACTTGCAAAATTTTAACCCAAAACAAGGAAGAAGGCTGTGACCATAAAACAACTAAAAAGGCCAAAACAGTAGAAAGTCACATAAAAACAAAGCCACAGATGGACATGACCAGTCGGCCCTGTGCTGTGCCTGAACCTTCTCTCCAGGGACGGGGGGCTCTTTTGCCCTGGAGTTAGTTGCTAAAGCAGCCCTGGAGGTTGCTAGGTAACCAGTTAGCCTCCTTAGGCAACCAGAAACTGAGCAGTACTGGCTCTTGGGGTTTTTAAAATAATAGACGTCAGTGGTTTCAGAGTAATTGTGAAATTGTTGAGTTTTTGATTGCCTTTCTTTTCATCAAGTGCAGAAATCTACCCCTTTGAAAGGATTAAGCAATCTAATTGAATCATAGCACGTTGCATTGTTCATTCTTTTGGCTCTGAGATTTCTTCCCCTCTATAAAATCATACATGTTTTCCTTGGGAATTCACTTTTAAAAATTGAGCAGCCTTTTTTTCCTCCTTGTTCAATTATTCTGTAATTGTGACAATCATTTAAAAGTTTTTAGTGGTTGTTAGGCTGTCATATATTGTCAAAATGAATGCAATGTAGTAATTTTTATTCAGTTAGCAGACTATTCAGAACAAATATATTTAATTTTAACAAGAGTATAGTCTTTCATTGTATGGAATAATTTGCTTTGAGTGTAATTTGACATCAAAATAAAGGATTGCAGTTTTATCTAAGCCCAACATACTATGCTTTTTTTTTTTGGTACCAGGAATCAAACCCCAACATACTATGAATCATATTTTTGAAGTTTACTAGGTGCATGATAACAAGCTCCAAGTAACAGCTATCATTGTAACAGTTTTTCCTTTCTCTTAAAACAGGAAAATTAGTGTTTCTGACCCTAGTAATTACTGTTGTTACTTTTTGTCCATAAATTTACCTGATTTACAAGTCAGTGTCCCATGAGATTTAAATTCCATGGCAGTTATTTTTGGAGTCAGGAGGCCATTAAAGTCAAGAATTAAGCTTACTCCTACCCTTTTTCTTTTTGGTTATATGACATTATTTTATATGTAGTTTTTTTTCTCACTATCCTAATTTTTTAGTAATCCACTAAAAAGCTACTTTATTCAGGGGTTGTAGTAAAGAGTTATAAGAGCAGAATTGTAAATTTATAGAATAGTGAAATCATAAGATCGATATTTTTATTTTCAATTTATTGTTATTTTTTTGAGACAGAGCCTCACTATGTAGTCCAGGCTGGCCTTGAACCTGGGGTGATCCTCCTGCCTCAGCTTCCAGGGTGCTGGAATTACAGGCAAGCTTCATTACATCTGTCGCTAAAATTGTTATTTTATTATTATTATTATTACTGGTTTTTTTGGGGGGTGGTACTAGGGATCAAACTCGGGACCTTGTGCTTGCAAGGCAGGCGCCGGAACCACAGAGCTAAATCCCTGGCCCTAAAATTGTTATTTTTAATGAGAAGTATTTTCCTTCCAGATGTGCCATTCATGTATTTAGCAAGGACTTAGTAGTACCACGTCTGCATCAAGCACTTGCTGGGTACTGGGATTAGAATACACCAGGCAAAGTCCAGATGGCCTTTGGGTTTAGGAAGCTTGTAGTCCAGCATTAGTCTGGGACAGTAACCAGATCAACTAGTTCCCAATGGAATTACGTGACCAAGGAGCAGGACGAGGTTTATAAGAACTTAAGAGATCAGGCCTAGGCCAGGATCTTGGGAAGGCTTGAAAGGGATACGGGATGGTGTGGAGGTGAACAGGGCCTTGCAGGCCTTGGTGGAAGGGGCAGTGTAGGCACCATGTTCTGTACACACCCTGCTCCTTTACACCAAGAGTAAGGCAGGAGTTCGGTGGGAACCCTTTTCCCGTCTGAAATATTCCTAGACAATCACTTTTTACATTTTATTCTCCTGGACATGGTGGTTCCTGCCTCTGATCCCAGCAGCACTCGGGAGGCTGAGGCAGGAGGATCATCATAAGTTGGAGGCCAGCCTGGGCTGCACAGTGAGTTCAAGGTCAGCCTGGACTACATGGCGAGACCCTGCTTCCAAAAAAAAAAAAATATTCTCCCATTTTGAAATTTTAGGGGACCTCAGAGCTCCTTAACCAATTTTTGTAGGGTAAAAATTTTCAGAATCCGTCCTTATTCCTTTCTCTGTCATACACAGTTAATCAAGTTTGATCAGACCCAGTGGGCTCTGTAATGAATTCTGCCTTTCTGTGTGTGTCCCTTTTCATGCACATTTGTGAAAGGAACCCGGTGCAGGCATCTGAGTTAACACCTGCCCTGTAATTGCGTAACCGTTGGAAACGTGCACCTTGTTCGTATTTCAGTAAAAAGCTGCAAAGGCCGCTGTTTTGAGAGAACGTTTGGGAACTGTCGCTGCGATGCTGCCTGTGTAGACTTCGGGAACTGCTGCCTGGATTACCAGGAGACGTGTCTGGATCCGGGTAAAGAGGAGCAGGAGGCCGGGCTTGGGCGGAGATCAAAGAGCTCCACGTCTTTTCCCCGTGTGATTTACATCACGCACTTGAGTTCACTTTCTTTACAGTTTAGGGTGTGCATGTATTTTGAAAATTAATTTCATTGGTACATTTTTTTGGTACCAGGAATCGAACTCAGGGCCTCATGCTTGCCAGGCAGGCGCTGTGCCGCTGAGCTACGTCCCCGGCCCTTATTGGTACGTTTTAGATACACATAGTGATCACATTCATCATAGAGAATTTGTACCTGTACGTGGATTATCTTGGTTCTTTTTTCCTATTCCCCTCCACTCCTTATTTACGAAAGCTTTGTTTCCACTTTTTCCTTCTAGTCTCTTTTCCTTTTCCCTTCCTTCTGTTCCTCCTCCCTCCTCCCTTGTTCCCCTTCCCATTTTCTTCCTACTTCCCAATATCTATCTTCCATTTTGCTCCTTATTTACCCTTTTGGTTTCTCACACAAGAGAAACAGTGCGATATTTACACAGGTATCTGTTTTATTTCATTTAAAAGCATAATCTCAAAGTGCATCCATTCACCCAGAAATGTCTCAAGTTTATCCTTCTTTATGGCAGAGTAGTACTCCATGATACCTAAAAATCTCATCTTTAGGATGTGCACATATTTTGACATTCTCTTTCATACTTCAGTAGTTCCACAGAGAAAAACATTTTACATAATTTCCTCTTGTTAAACATCTTAAGGTAGTAAAACCAAGTGAGGGCCGCAAGGTGTGTCTTGTTGGCGTTTGTTTCTAGCGCACATCTGGACTTGCAACAAGTTCCGGTGCGGGGAGAAGACGGTGTCCGGAAGCCTCTGCTCCTGCTCAGATGACTGCAAGGACCGCGGGAACTGCTGCGTCAACTACAGCTCCGTGTGCCAAGGTGCGCTTCCTCGCTGCCCTGGGCCAGGCAGCCTGGCCAGTTCCACGTGCCCTAGGGCTCTGCACAGCATCTGATGCTCGCCATCATGGTTCCTGGCTGCCTACTTTATCTGAATGTCATTAAAGAATATTTCAGAGCCAGGCAAGGTGGTGCATGCCTGTAATCCCAGTACTTGGGAGGCTGAAGCAGGAGGATTGCTGTGAGTTCAAGGCCAGCTTGAACTGCATAGCAAGACCCTGTCTCAAAAAAACTGAAAACGAACAAAAAATTCAAACATATGCATGAGTAGAGAGAGTGACCAATGAACTGATGTCCATTGCCAAACCTAAGAAGTATTATTATCTGTTCACACCTGGCCGAGCTTGTTTACTGGTAGCCAGTCACACCCCTGGCAACCTCCAGCCATTCGTGAAAAGACCACTTTTCTAGTGCTGGCTGACATTTATGTTCCAGATTTCCTCCCAGTAAGCGAGGATGGCATTGGCCATGCACTGAGAGTGTCCATGGGAAATGTCTTTGAAAGCTGATGTTATTAGAATGTCACCATCAGGAATACAGGGTTCCCTGAAACTGCTTGAAAGAACCAGAATCTGTGTGAGAGAACTAAGACTTCACAACACCAAATATTACGTAGGAGAGGTAGGAGCATGCTTATAAGTTCTGGCTGAAAATATTAAGATTTTGAAAATGAAAAAGATATTCAAATATCACAAATATAGTGCTGTTAGCACTCTGTATCTATGAGGATCAGTTCTACAATCTTTGATACCAAAATCCAAGGATATACAAGTCTCGTACATAAATGTTCGTAGGGCTGGGTGTTGTAGTGCACACTTGCAAGCTCGCCACTTGGGAGGCTGAGGCAGGAGGATTACCCCAAGTTCAGGGCCAGCCTGGGCTACATAGTGAGATCCTGGCTCAACAACAACAAACTGAAATTTTTAATATAACCTGTACCCACCCTCTTGTATGCTTTAAATGATCCCTGACTGCTTATAATACCCATACAATAAAATGCTATACAAATAGTTGTTACAGTGTTTTGTTTAGGGAATAATGAAAAGAAAAATGCACGTGTTCAGTACGGGTGCTTTTTTTTTTTTTAAATGTTTTTGACCTGCAGTTATTTGAATTCACAGAATACCCTGATAAAGAGAGCTGACTGTACTATATTTTAGTCCTGCAATTATACATTCATTTTTCTTCCTGATACCAACTCTTATTTTGCAGCGATACAAGTGGCTTGTTTTATGCACTTCGTTTCTCTAGTGCCATGCCCCAGGTGGTCCATGTATCTGTTAACATTCCCTGTTTTGGGAATCTACCTTAATGTGTCTCACGGGCATCACCATTATCAGTTGTGTGTTCACCTTGATTTATTTCTTGAAAATATTTTAGATGAGCAAAGCTGGTTAGAAGAAACGTGTGAGAGCATTAACACGCCACAATGTCCAGAAGGGTAAGATGATCTTCTGAGATGTTTTTTTTTCTTTTTTAGGACCTTTTTTTTTCTTTTGTCTTTTCAAATTACAGTAAGTAGATAAATAATAACCAACCAGTGGTTCATTAAACCTGATTTTTAGGCAGGTCTTGTGTTTGGCATTGGTGGTAGAGTTGATTAGTGTGTAATTCCTTGCTAGAGAAAAAAGAAGTGGCATGAATATTTAGTTTTTATTGTTCATGATTGCTAGGTGGAATCTTGTGTCTTCCATCTTCGGGAAGGACAGATCTTTTTTCTTAACAGCATGGTGATTTAGAAAAATTTTTTTATTAGTACATAATGCATACATTCATTGTGAGGAGTGGGTACGTGTGATATGTCTCTATTCATTTTCATCCCCTTTTCTTTCTTTTGTTTTTTGGTACTGGGGATCGAACTCGAGTCCTTGAGCTTGTGCAGCCGGCGGTTAAACCACTGAGCTAAATCCCCGGCCCTCATCCTCTTTTCTTTTCATCCCTTGTGCTCATCCTTCCCTTTTGCAATCGATGTATTCCTTTTTTCCTCTTATCTTTCAGTTTGCTCTTTAATTTATTTTTATTTTCAGTCTCTTGTAACAGTAGTCATGTGATATTTAAGCTGTGTGTCTGATGTATTTCACTTAACAGTATGGTTTCAAGGTGCATCTATTTTCCTACAAATGGCTTAAGTTTGTCCTTCTTTGTGGTAGAGTAGTACTCCACTGTGTATACATACCACATCGTCTTTATCCATTCATCTGTTGATGCCATATAGGTCACTTCCAAGATGTAGCTATTACGAGTTGTGCTGCTATAGAGATGGGGGTGCATGGATCACTCTAATGTAATCTCTAAATCTTTGGGCAAGATGCCTAGAAGGGGAGTAGCTGGGTCAAGTGGAATTTGTAGTTTTAGTTTTTTGAGGATCTCCATAGTGATTGTACTGGTTTACATTCTTGCCAACAATGTAGAAGAAGAGTTCTTTTTCCTTGTAGCCTCATCAGCATTTGTTATTATTTTTTTTGGATGATGACCATTCTTTCTAGTGTAAGATGGAATCTCAGTGTTGTTTTTATTTGCATTTCTCTAATGGCCAGAGATAGTAAACATTTTTTCATGTATTTACTGGTCATTTGTACTTCCTCTTCTGAAAAGTATCTTCATTTTATTTATCCATTTTTTGATTGGGTCTTTTATTTTGGGCTTTTTTTTTTAGTTCTTTATGTATTCTAGATATTAGTCCTCTGCTTGAGGAGTAGCTGACAAAATTTTTTCCCTGTTCTATTCATTCTGTTGCTTGTTACCTTTGCTGTGCTGGAGCTTTTTAATTTGATACAATCCCATCTTTTGATTCTTGATATTATTTCTTATGTAACTGGGTTTTGTTCAGAAGTCCTTGCTTATGCCAATGTCTTCAAGATCTTACCTATTTTATCTTCAGCAGATTAAGTGTTTCTGTTTTCATATTTAGGTCTTTGATACATTTTGATTTTAGTTTAGTACATGATGTGAGAGACATGGGTCTAGATTCAATCTTCTGTCTGTAGACAGTTTCCCAACATCATTTGTCAAAGAGGCTATGTGTAGGATGGAGGGATGTTTACTTCCATTCAGAGTTTTTTTTGGTTTTGACTTTTTGCTGGTTTTTTTTTTTTTTGAGACAGCGTCTCCCTGTGTCAGTCAGAGGCTGGCCTTGAACTAACTGTGTAGCCCAGGCTGGCCTTGAATTCACATCGATCCTCCTGCCTCAGGCTCCCAAGTGCTGGGATTAGAGGCGTGTGCTACTGGAGCCGGTCCCACTGTGTTGTTTTCTGCTGAGTGCATAGATCTGGTTTTGTACACATGTGGACCTTGGGAAGACAGGCAGCTGATTGTGCAGCCTCCCGAGGGCACAAGTGTTGGGGGACATTGTATATGAGCGTTCTCTCTTTCTAGGGACACCTTTGGTCTGAGGGTGGGGCAGGAGGAGGAAGTAGGGTTGAAAAAGAGAAGGTCAAGTGTTTGCTCTTAACTTTTTTTTTGGTACCGAGGATCAAACTTGGGACCTTGGGCTTGTGAGGCAGGCGCTGGAACCACTGAGCTAAATCCCCAGCCCTTGCTCTCTCAGCTTTTAAATTACTAAGTAAACTTTCTGTGGCAGTCTTCATAGTTACCCAGCAGTAACTGCAACTCCCTTCCCTCCCCAAGTGTCCCCGGGAGCAGCGACTGAACCGCAGCTATTTGAGGGCTGTCATGACGCGGTCATTCACAGCTGCTCTCTTCTGCTGGGTACATAATCAAATGTGCTTCCTCCCTCCTTTGAACTGAGTGTTTACACATCAACTTCATCTTTGATCATTCCTACCTTTGCATCACTTTTTGTTTAAGTAGATGAATGCAATAAATATTGCTCAAACTTCTATATTAGATTTTTATATCTTTTCAGTATATTAAACATAGAAACCACATACGGCATATAATTTATGCTGTGTGTATTAGATTCAAAAAAAGACAATATCAGAAACTGGTTGCTTAGGAAAACCAAATGAATGGAAACAAAAACATAATTTAGGCAATGCTTCTTATTGGTGAAAATTATAGAAGTCCTATTATAATTTAGTACATTCGGTGTAGCTTTGGGAATGACAGGAATCATGAATGATGTACTCTGTATAGTGCCTGAAAGTGGTATGAATTTTTAATAAATACTGTTTGATGATAGTTGCATGTGTATTATGCAGCAATAACGTATCAATGTGAGTATAAATGTGTGTAAAATATCCTTCATGGGTGTCTTTGCTAACTTGTTAGTTCAAGCAAGATTACATTCCGTGAAAAATCTACCCTGGACACATCTTCATTGCATGTGTCTTCTTTTTGCTTCTTTAAACATTTTTTTCTCTTTCTCTTTGAAAGGTTTGACAGACCTCCTACGCTCTTATTTTCTTTGGATGGATTCAGGGCAGAATATTTACACACCTGGGGTGGACTTCTTCCTGTTATTAGCAAACTAAGTGAGTAACTTGAGAGTTGGCTCCTGGAGTGTCATGATTGTGGTAAGACAGATGAAGGAACCAGTGTGTTTTGGAAAAGTACTGGAAGAACCTAACTGCTCTACCAACTTCGCCATTACAAATTGGTTGAACTTAATGATAAGGCACTGGCCTTTAATAGTGTAATTTCTCTGAAGTTGCCCTTGACATACTTCTGAGATAATACAGCTATTTTAGGATTTTAACTCTCATCCATTTTTACACATATTTATTCTTTCTTAGAGTTTTGCATTCTTTTTGTGGAAAAATCCTTTATTTATTTATTGCATGACTATTCCTTTTAAAAATAGAATTTCAAAAACAATCTTTTTGAAACTGAAATGATACTACTAGTACAGCTTGGAAAGATTGTTGGTTATCCTGTGTTATACTTTGGATCAAATTAAATCTTTTCTTTATCTCAGTCAAAGCTTTAACTGAGAATGATTATTCTTCAAGTTATTGATAAAGTAGTATGATCATCTTTTCCTAATCTTGACGCCAAAGTTTTAAATCACATTCATAGCCAATAGTATTGTTGTCAGTTGTAGCATCGTTATTGAAAGAAGAAAACAATCATCTAAGTTGATTCTTCCTTATTTAAGTTGTAGACTTAGCTGCCGGGGCAGCTGTTCTATGACTTTGTTTAGGTATTTGGCCACTAATTAGTACCCAAGCTCTTGCAAGCATTGAGTTACAGTGGAGCCCTGACTTACAAATGAAACTCGTTCTCAAGGGCTGGTTGTAACTCAAGTTGGTCAGTTGAAGGCTCAGGCTCCTCTACAGAGCTTCAAAGTCTCTCTCCTGTGTACAGGCAGATCTGTGTCCTCAGAGAGACATTGGCCCAGGATTTCTCAATTAACCCTACACGGGAAAGGATGCAGTCATGTTCCTCCTGGAATCCCTAAGGGTTAAATCTGTATCTGAGACCATCTGGAAGCACAAGCAGCCAGCATTGGGGTGTAACTCAAGACTTTGTTCATACTTTAAAACTAAAATTTTGGTTGTAACCCAAGTTGTTTGTGTGTCAGGCCGGTTGTAACTCGAGGGTCCACTGTATTACAACTTGTCCTTCTTGAACTTAATATTACTGGTGAGTGTGGGTTAAGTACTTAATGGGCTTAATTATGTTGTTTACTGTTTTTCTGACTAAGAGAAAAAAGCGCTCTTATCTTTATGATTGACTTTGTATCCATAGAATTGCTTTATTCATCTTGTGGCTATAAATCCCTTCCGGGACAATTATTTTATATGATTTAGACTGCTGCGGTAGCAGGCTGAATGAGGTCAGCAGTTTGCCAACTATGTTTAATGATGATGTTTTTTTCTTTCCTCTTTAGAAAACTGTGGGACATACACTAAAAACATGAGACCTGTGTACCCAACAAAAACCTTTCCCAATCACTACACTATCGTCACAGTAAGCCCTGCATTTCAACTTTCATATACTTAGAGAAGTGAGAGGCAATTAAAACATTTTTTGAGGAAATAATTCAATTTAAGATCAGAAAAAAATACTTCATTTTACAATATGTGATAATATCTGTATTTTATGTTTCAGGGACTTTATCCAGAATCTCACGGCGTAATTGACAATAAGATGTTTGATCCTCAAATGAATGTTTCCTTTTCGTTTAAAACTAAAGAGAAATTCAATCCCCAGTGGTACAAAGGAGAGCCAGTGAGTTCTTGGTCTTAGTTCTGAAGTATTTTATTTTGTTATTTTTATTTATTTTCATCAGTGTGAAATAAAGCGATTCCCTGAAGTTTTTAATAAGTTATTTCGTGTACTATGTCTGTGACCTTTCCTGAATGCACCCGTGAATGCTCATACTCCTAGATGCAACTTGCATGACTGCATGCCTGTGAAAGTGGTTTATTTCAGAGTTGTGCTGAACCATTTTTCTTCTCTGCGTCATTTTCTCTGTCTCTCTCTTTTTTGGGGGTGTGAGAATTTTGCAAGTTAGCAATGTAGGATGCTTATCGGAAAGCTGTTCACACCTGTGGTTGGCAATAGGACATGCTTAACAAATGATAGCTACATAAGCAGACATGTCAGTAAATTAAAGGCATATGTATTTGTAGTTTTTTCTTCTTTCAAGGGAAATCTATTAACTAGAGTTATAGCTCTAAAAGTTACAAGAATTGACCACTGTTTTATGTCCATCTTTTTAAGTTTAATTTACTCCCTGGTTATTTAAAATTCTGCTCCCGCTGTTCAAGAGTCACGCTGCCTGATTACAGAGGTCCGAGTGCTAGCTAGAGTTTGTTACTCAGCCTTGGCGGAATGTGTTGGTGTTGCCTGAATGCACACTTTCCTGAGCGATGATGTCCTACCTTTCCTTTATCACCTTCCACAGATGTGGCTCACAGCCAAGTACCAAGGCCTCAAGGCGGGCACCTTCTTTTGGCCAGGATCAGATGTGGAAATTAATGGAAATTTCCCAGACATCTACCGAGTGTATAACAGGTAGGTGCAGACACTTGGTGTCTGGGACCTGGGTGTGGAACAGCCGATGTTTCCTCTTGTCTCCATGTTAGGAATCCTCAGCTGTAGCATTGAGTGATACGTTCACTGAGAAGTGAAGACTCACAGAATAAGCATCGCAAAGATTGCAGATAGATGGGAAATAGTAAAACTAGGTTCTGGAAGCACCAATAACATTTTGTATTCAGGTCTCTGGGCAGCAGTAACAAATGGGGTGTGGTGAAGGTAGATACCTGGGGGTGGAAGCACTGCACCTTTTAACTCAGGAAGAAAGGGAGCTAGAAGAGAAAGATGAGTGTGTTACAGAGCACTTGGGTAGGAACAGCTCCCTGGTGTCTAAAATATTATTTAAAAGAAGATATTAATGGGTCCTCTGGATTTTCTTTTCCATGTCACTTGAATAACTATGCTTTCAATATAAGAAACTGATGATGATGATCTCCCTGTGATTTTGAAAATTATCATTTAATGACAAAAGACAAGAGGAATTTTTTTTTAAAGAGAAGACTTCTGTGGGCTGATTTGGTGGCAAGACTGCCAAGCTGATTCTATTTGTTTTATACTTTTAAAATTTCTATTGCAAAATCAATGCAGTATATTTGGGATGAGGAGAGTGCAAACAAAAAGATATCATACATCTGGACAAGAAATGCGTAGCAGTTTTGCCGGTAACCTTAGGTTGTTGTGCACCCTTGTGGGTCACACAAGCCCAGTGGACACCTGTCCCATACTTTATCATGTGCCGCTGTTTTCATCCCGTAGAGGAAATGGAGATGGTAAGTGAGATTAGACCTGCCAGGCACTGAACTAATTGGAGGATTCGAAGATTAGTGACGTATGGGGCCTGGCTTCATGTGGTCCAGCAGACAACACAGCTGCTGTGTAAACAAAACCCCACTCCCAGAGGAGGGCATAATTCATTTTGCAAAGAGCTGTGGCCTGGAGAAATGGTGCTCGGTTGTGGCCTGGTGCGTTTCCCGGTGGTACTGGGCGGTCAGTGAGTGAGTTTTCCAGGCGCTTCCTGTGCACAGCGCGGCAGCACACGGTTTGTCCCTGCACTGCGCGATCTCTGCTCTCGGGTGTGTGAAGAATGCCCTCTGGTCAAAGGCAGGAAGCCAATATTTAAACCCAGCCACATCTTGTATTTGTAGAAAAGGTGAATTTTGTTCTTTTATTGGAAAGACGAATTTAGTTTTCAGATAAAACTCTTATGGGACTCCAAACACGATAGATTCCTGGGTTGCCTCAGTATCGCTCGCTATTTTCAGTGAGAAAAATATTTCTGTTTTAAATCCAAACAATGATCACAGATTTGTTTCATTGTGTTTATCCTTCATTTTAGTTCCATACCATTTGAAAAAAGAATCTTAGCTGTTCTTGACTGGCTACAGCTTCCACCAGGGGAAAGGTATGTAGATGATTAATTGCTGTTGTAAATACTCCTTGGTTTTATAAAACTAATGTACGTCTTAAAAATAGACTAGAATACAACTTTGTCATCTCCTGTGATGATGTTTTATATCCAAATAAACTCTTTACTGAGCTACCGCAGCCACATTCTGAAGAACTCCAAACCTGTATTATTTCCCGCAAGTTTGGAAATGTTACCCCAGGGTTGTAGAACTTTTAAGCACTATCAATTGTTGAATTATTCTTTCCACTCTGTTTTTCAATGTGTTCGTAAAATATTACATTTTGATACTGTTTGATTTAGACCACACTTTTACACTCTGTATTTAGAAGAACCAGATTCTTCAGGTCATTCCTACGGACCAGTCAGCAGCAAAGTAAGTGCACTTTTGTCTACAATGGTTTCTTTACACCTACAGTCTTCTAACCTGTCTGTGCTTTGAAGCAGGCTTCTGGGCCATTCTGTAAGATGCTGTGATTTCTGGAGAGAGTGCATTATTATGCATGACTTTACCAAGCCAAAGAATGCATTTTAATCAAAATAAGAGTGGGAAGAATGGCTTGCTTACATTTTCTACAGTGCTTGAGTGAACTGATGAATTAAATTCTATATTTTCAATTCCAAATCCTTTTCCACTCCATAGTCTCTTTCTTTGGCATAATAAACTAAATGCTTCATGAGAGTTTCATAAGAGGTTCAGAAAAGAATTGAGATGTGTTATGTACCCATACCAGCTCCCTCCAGTGAATCTAATCATTGTGCACTGTAAACTTTACTAAAAAACCAAAGGCTCCAGAGTTCTAAGAAAATAGAGGTTAATGAATCCAGTAGCAGAAGAAGCCTTATCTGAACTCTCCTCCTTAGCAAATAGGTCTCTAGATTCATGAGACCATGCTTACAGCACAGCTGGGACATTGAAAGATGGGAGGTTTTCTCAAAAGCATAGAGATATAGCTGAGCATGGTGGCGCACACCTATGATCTCAGCATTCTGGGAGGCTGAGGCAGGAGGATTGCAAGTTTGAGCTCAGTTTAGGCCACTTAGTGACTTAGTGAGACCCTGTCTCAAAAAAAAAAAAAAAATAGAGATATGCAAATATCCTTCTTTACTGAATGATTGTTAGGGGACTATAGGAACCAGCTCATGGATGAATGCCCATAAGTAACATCTTGTTTGGCCTAACACCTTCAGCTCCTGTCTATGTCTGTCACTTATCTTGAGTTTTCAGACAACACTTTGCTCCTTTCAGTGTTCATGTGGCTGGAGCAGTTTTATATTTTGGGGCACAGGAAATGTTGTTGAAAATGATTTGAGCTTCTTGCCTAGTACATCAAAGTTAATTTTCCTTCTAGATTATTTTACCTGTGACCTAAGATGTGAAAAGATAAGAGGCTGCGGGTGCACAGTCTTCCCACCCCAAGTTCACATCCACTTCTCCCCAGGTGGCTCAGCCTGGGTAGTTTGGAGCCTCAGCGACTCTTCGGTCACAGGCTCAGAAAGAGGCCTGGGCCGACCTGTCCATTGTGAACCCCATTTCTGAGGAATCTGCTGTTCTAAATAAATGCTTCCCTCAGTAACACTGGATGAAGGAAGAGACAAAAGCTCCCTACTTCTCAGGAATACTGCACAGCAGTCTCCTAAACCATCTTCCCCTAGACTCCCTGACCCTGAGTCTGCCCTAGACAACACCCCCCACCCCCCCACCCCCACCC